AAGTAGATGCATAAACCAAAGATCCAAACACTTTTAAAATTTTCAAATCAGGTAGCTTATCATGCATCAAGAAATATGGTGATTTATTTTCAAGAAGAGGACTAGAGACACGGTTTATGATAAAAACAGCATGTGACACGGCATAACACCAAAATTGTTTCGGTAAATTTGAATGAAATAACAGAGACCTGGCTACATTCAATATATGTTGATGTTTTCTCTCTACTCTTCCATTTTGTTGTGGAGATTCTACACAACTTTTTTGATGAATAATTCCTTTGGAAGAATAGAAAGAAGGCATCAAAAATTCTGGGCCATTATCAGTTCTCATGGTTTTAACAAGGGTGTTATGTTGTGTTTCAATCAGCTGGACAAGATTCATGACATGTTGACTAACTTCAGCCTTAGATCTCATAAGAGTAACCCAAGTATATCTACTGAAGTCATCAACAACAGTAAGAAAATAAGAAAAACCATGAACAAATTTAATAGCAATAGGACCCCATATATCAAAGTGAATTAGATCAAAAGGTTTCATGGCTTTATTAGAACTCCTTTGATATGGTAATTTTTTTGTTTAGCCAAATGACATACATCACAAACTCCTTCTTGATCTATAACAATAAAGGGAAAATCAGAATGTATCAAAGTCATTCTAGAGTTAGAGAGGTGGCCTAGTCTAAAATGCCATAATGCATTTTCTGGTATGATGACAGTTGAGTTGCAAGGGGCAGCAGAAACATTCTGAATCTTATCTGGCAGAACCAAGTGATACAATCCTTCAATGAGTTCAGAAGAACCAATCGCCTTCAATGACCGAGGATCCTGAACAAGGCATTGTGAATTAGTGAAACTAACAAGGCAAGGTAAAGCATAACAGAGTTTGGCAACTGAAATTAGATTCAAAGAAAAATTAGGAGCATAAAGGACATTTGTTAAGAAAAAACTTTGAGAAAAAAAAATTGTGCCAATTTGTTTTGCTACGGAAAAATTACCATTAGGTAATCTAATAGAAATAGGACTAATATCATGAAGAGAATGAAACCAATGGGATGAACCACAAATATGATCGCTAGCTCCTGAATCGATGATCCAAGAACCAAGAGTTGTATTATTAACTCAAGAAGAAAAAATAGAAATATTACTTTTGTCATCGACTGATGGATGATCAGTTGATTGGAATGAGCTCACCTGATTAGAAGCATGTGCAGTCGATTGTTTATCAATACTAGAAGCTTGAAGTAGAGACATAAGAGTATTATATTACTCATGTATGAGGGCTGGTGGTGCAGAACTTTCTGTAGTAGCATTATGAGCTGCATAATTTGAACTTTTCTTTTGTAAATGAGGTGGAACTCCATGCTTCCGATAACAAGTATCAACAGTATGACCTGATTTGTCACAAAAAGTGCAAACTCTCTGTCCAGATTTATAACCAGTCTTACTATTCCTAAAACTTGATCTCCTATTTTCATCAGCATTAACAAGGACTTTAGAGTCATCATTAATTGAAACATGATGAATAATTTGTCGTTCATGCTGAATAACCATTGAGAAAATTTTATTCAAGCTAGGTAAAGGATCTAATAGCAGAATATGTGACTTAACAACGTTGAATTCTTCATTAAGACCGGTCAAAAAACGAATCGCATAGAGTAAATTATGATTATATCTAGCGGTACGCATAGCTTCACAAGAACAACGCACACGACAAGTACATATAGGTATTGGCATATACATTTCTAATTCTTCCCACAAAATCTTAAGATCAGAGAAAAATTTTGTTACCGTTCGATGCTCTTGCTTGAGAGCATAAATTTCTTGTTGCAATTCTGATACACGAACCAAATCACCTTGAGAGAAGCGTTCTTTCAAATCATTCCAAACATCGATCGCATTCTCCATAAATACAATGGATTGACCAATTGATTCGGCGACAGAATTCATGATCCATGAGTGCACGAGCATATTGCAACGCGTCCAAGCATGAAATGTTGGATCAAATTGATCTGTAGGAACCGTAATAGAACCATCAACAAAATCATATTTCAGTTTTCCACCCAAAGCTCTACGCATAGACCGGGCTCAACTATGGTAATTGGAACCGGTAAGCAGGGGAGTAATTGAAACTGAGGTTGGACCATCACTTGGATGGACATAATAGGGACTTGATGGATCAATAGCTTGAGCACTCTGATCACTGGATGATGAAGTATTGTTACCACGTGCCATGGATCTCACTGGCTCTATGATACCATATGAAAATAAGTACAGGATGAAAAAGGACAACCAATTAGGTTTCCTATAATTGAATTCAATTCTTCACCCCAATTAATCGTATAATGAAACGCATATATATATATATATATATATATATATATATATATATATATATATATATATATATATATATATATATATATATATATATATATATATATATATATATATATATATATATATATATATATATATATATATATATATATATATATATATATATATATATATATATATATATATATATATATATATATATATAAGAATTTCTACTAATTAGCAGTAACAGAAAAAGCAAAAAAATAGCTATTGATAACAGCTACATAATTAGTAGTAAAGTAGATGCATATTTTTAGGCATAATAACAGTAACTGATGCACACTTTTAGGCATAATATGTGGATATATTTTATTAGCTCAATAATATCCTTTGCGAAATTTACGATTTTTAGAAGAAAAAAAATGTGTTAGCGGATTTTCAGAAATTTTTAGTTTTTACCAGATTTTTAGGGACATGAATGAGTTTTTATGGAATTTTTAAAACACTGATGTAAAAAGCGTATTTTTTACACCTTTGGGTTAAATATATTTTTAGTCCCTATAAATATTTCAACTTTCAAGTTTAGTCTCTCTAAAATTTATCTTTAAACACCGATACTCACAAAGTTTTTTGTCCCTAAATTTGGTCCCTCCCGTTAGTTTCCACTAACGGAGGCTTATGTGACATGCCAAGTGTAAAATTTGATTTGGTTATGTGTGATATGTAAAATGCAAATTTGCCAATGTAGAATTGTTGATATTTTTATATTCATAACTGATGAAAATGAAACACGACACAAACATTCCACTTCAATAGTGTGCCCTAGCAGAAGAAGTTGTAGTTGTTGTCTTGGAGGTGCGTTGTGGTTAAGGAACAAGGAAAAAGTCTTTATTGTATTCAAAGAAGAAATCTTTGTTTGCAATGGTCTCAAAGCAACTGCGTAAGCATCCTCATTGTAGTGGTCTCAAAAACAACTTCGTAAGTAGTTGAAATGGTCCCATGTAATATACTTTGTCTCTTCTTTGTCCCCTCATTTATTATTGTATTTCATCTTTGTTGCTTTCTTAGTGGTCCTAGTTTATTTAATATGTTGCATCTTATTACCATTTATATAATAAGTTAAATTGTTGGTAAATCTGTTTGATATGCTTGACCTAATTTTGGTGTCAATTTTAGAAAGAAAGAAAAATAGGGTAAATCAGTTTGACAGAGTTATGGTAAATTTTAAACCTAGGTTAAATTTTGTGAAAGGAAATGGATAAGTTCAAGGTTGTATTTTACTCAAAGGTTTGTTTTGTAAAGGACCATAACATAAGATACGAGGGAGGGAAAGTATATGATTTTAATGGTCAAGATCCTGATTACTGGTCTTTCTTTGAAGCATGTAACTTAGTTAAGTTGATTGAACTTGAGTTTGATATAGGTTGTGTTAATATGTGGTGGAAACATGATGAAGGATCCTTTTAACAAGACTTAAAACCATTTAGGGATGATGGAGATGCTTCTGAATTAGCCACTTATGTTGTAGGAAATAAGTGTGAGGTTGAGATATTCTGTAAGCCTAAAGTTACAAGATAGGATACCTTTATGGATAGGTTTAGAGAGAAAGGAAAGGGAATCAAATGTGATGAAGATGGTGGCAGATTAAGTGAAGCTGGTGATGATTCTAGTTATAAATCTAAGTTGTTCACTTTGATGATAGTAAGGAAGAGCGAATTAAAGGGTTTGATGAAGGGCTTGATGAAGTGTTTAATGAAGGAGATGATGGAGAACCAAAAAATGAACTTGTTGCAAATGATAAGGGCTATACTCAACTAGACAAGAAGATTTTTATAATAGAAGAGATGGGTAAGGAACATGTCATTGAAGATTCTTACATGACTGATGAACTGGACAGTGGTGGTGGTGATGATAGTTGTGATGAAAGGTCGTGTGTAATCAGGTTTAAAGAAGAATATTCTTTAAGTAAGGATTTTGTTTTCAAGGTTGGAATAGAGTTTTCTTCATTAAGGCAATTCAAAGATGCTATCTTAGAGCATAACGTTTTGAATGGTAGGGATGTTAAGTTTGAGAAAAATGATGCTAACAAATGTAGGATGGTATGTAGGAACAAGAAAAAATGTGACTATACAGTCTTGTGTAGTAGAGTTTTAACCTCTGCCACATTTAGGATTAAAATATTATTTACAAAGCACAAATGTGGAAGACAATTCTTCAACAAAAGTGCTAAAGCAGAATGGGTTGCCAAGGTCATTGTTGATGGATTAAAGAACAACTCAAAGATGAGGTTAAGTGAGGTGGTAGCAGATGTTAGTCAAAGGTATGCCACAGAAATTCCAGGATGTAGAGCATTCAAGGCAACATAGATTGCAAGGCATATGGTTGAAGGAGACTCTAGCAAATAGTTTAGCCTTTTATGGTCTTATGGTGTTGAGTTAAGAAGGGCTTCAGTTGTCAAAATCAATATTGGTGTTCTATGTCCTAGTTTGAGACATATATTTGAGAGGTGTTATATGTGTTTTTATGGGACCAAGAAAGTTTTTACAAAAGCATGCAGGCATAGATGCTTATGATCAAGAAGGTTATTTTGGATGCTTATGAGTGGTTAGAGGCAATTCCTAAAATAAAGTGAGTCTTTTAATGCAACAATTATTTTACAAAGATACAAACCAATAATAACCATGTTTGTGTGGATTAGGAATTATCTAATGGGAAGGTTTGCAACCCTTAGAGAAAAGGTAGATGGTTATAAAAGACAAATAATGACAAAACCATTAAGGAGATTAGATAGTGAGATTGAAAAAAAAAATGCTAGTTGGACAGCAACTTATGTTGGTAGATTAACCTTTCAAGTCACAAATATATTGTTTACTGATAGCTTTGTAGTGGATTTGGAAAAACAAACATGCTCTTGCAACTATTGGAAACTTGTTGGGATTCCTTGTAGACATGATGTGGTTGCCATACATAGGAAAGTTCCAGTCAAGAAAATTGTACTTGTTCCCTATGGGATACCACCAAGGCCAGTCAAGGGATGCCCACCCAGGCCAGAGGGATGCCCGTATAGATGACTCATGACTTACCTACACGAGTATCTCATGAGATGCCTACACGAGCAAGTTAAACTAGCCAGGTCAATTTGGAACCCCAAAAAAAAGGTAATGTTCTACTTAAATTTTGTGCTTGTATGTAATTAATTATAAGACTAAGTAACAATGTCAATGTTATGCTTGTTTCATGGAGGGGAGGCCTAAGGGATCTTCCAACAATAGTACAGCTATAGGTGGAACAAAGAAGACAAAAGTCAGGGAGGGAAAAGTCAAAGAAACAATTGTCAAAGATACAACAGTCAAGGAAGCAACCGTCAAAGAAGAAACTGTCACTGAGGAAACAATTGTCAAGGAGGAAAAAGTCAAGAAAGCAATTGTCAAGGAAGCAAATGTAGTATATCCAATTGTAATTGATCCAACTGTCAAGGAAGGAAATGTAACTAAGCCAATGATAACTGAGTCAACTGTTAATGAAGAAAATGTTACAAAGGAAATGGAAATTGAGCCAACTGTAAAGGAAGATAATGTCATTGAGGAAATGGTAATTGAGCCAACTGATCCAACTATCAAGAACCAACCTATACATTATTCATGTTTGGATGAAACTATGACTGCATTATTAAGGGGTGATGATGTCTTGGATATTCAACCTTTAAGTGTTGACAAATCACCTCTCAATGCAACTGAACCAAGGCCAAGTGGTGTCAAGGTTTTCTTTGGTAAGCAACCAAAAGTGTTCAAAAACAAACCTTTCAAACCACCTGGTATTATAATAAATCTTTCAAGGCTAAGTTCTAGTTAACCAGTTAGATTTAAAACCCAGAGCAGGTACAAGACACAAACTGGTGTTACAACTGAAAAAAAGGCATGTGAAAGGATGAAGACCTTGAAAACAAAGAACATACCTGGCCCTGGAAAGAAACTTGACGACCCATTGGTTATAACTGAAGAGGACAACAAAATTGGCAAAGGTCTAACCCAATGAAGATGTAGTTTTTGATGTAACTAATGTTTTGTTGAATGTAGCTCTTTAGGAACACGTATTTTGCTTAATATACCTCTTTAGAAACAAATATTTTGATGTAATGCAATGTCACTGATGTACTATTTTGAACAAGTTATGATATTCTAATGTAATGTATTTATGTACTCTTTTGAACAAATCATGGTATGCTAATGTAATGTCACTGATGCAGTATTTTGAACAAATTATCCTATGTTAAAATAATGTACTGATCTAACAACTATTTTAATGAAATCTGTGTGAATTTTAATGTGAAAATTATAGATCATCTTGCGTGAAAATTATAGCTCATATTATGCCAAAATTATAGGTCACTTAACGGAAATATTATAGGTCAGTTTATGTCCAAATTTTAGGTCACCTTGTGTGCAAAATTACATATCATGCCATGTCAACATTATACATTACACTATGTCTAATTTATAGGTCAGATTGTGTGAAAAATGTAGGCCACATTGTGTGGATATTAAAGGTCATAACTGAACTAAATTTTTTCAAACCGAATCATATGCCATACCAATTGAACAATACAAAAACAATTACACCAAACTCTATTTCATACCAATTCAACATTACAAAACCAATGAGACAACATTACAGACAAATTCAATGAGACAACATTACAGACAAAACCACTTAGACAATAATACAAACAAAGATCAATTCAATATTTATACCTAATTAACAAATACATATTGACCAAGAATGAAACTATCACACAAATTGTCTTCATTTTTCCCCAAAATTCCTCTATCTTGATCTTCATCTTCAACCTCTTGTTCTTCTTCATTGATGATTCATAAAGCTCCTTCAAAGTTTCTACAGCTCGCATATTCCTTACCTTACTCTCACCTTTCCTCTATTTTGCATCTACACATTGAACACCATCCTTTCCTTGTGCAATTTCATCATCCCAGATGAATAAATTACAAGTACCCTTGTTTTTCCAATACGAGCATCTCCAAAACAATTTACCTTTATTTTGTCTATTCTTGCACATGTATGAAATCATAGAGCCATTACATCCACATCTTTTTTCACTTCATGGTTCCTCACACTCGTGGAATGCAACGACACAAACTTTCTTAACTGTGATGAAGATGACATGATGTCAGCGATGGAGGAGGAAGACGAATAAGAAGAAGAACAATGAGATCAGATGAACGTGAACGATGGAAGGATACACATGTAATGGAGGGACACGATGAAATAATAAGAAGAAGGGGATTAGGGTTCCCCTACGTTTGGGTTTACATTTTATTATATAAAAAAATATCATTTAAAAACAAATCTGATGTGGCCATGAAAATTACACAGGTGGCATGCCGCATAAGACTATGTTAGTGGAAATTAACGGGAGGGACTACATCTAGGGACGGAAAATTTTGTGAGGACCATTGTTTAAAGGAAATTTTTTTAGGGACTAAATTTGAAAGTTGTCATATTTATAAGGGGCCTTGGTCATATTTAACCATTTTAAATAATAGGTGTGAAATCATATAATTTTATAGAAAATTATATATCGGGCTTTTAAAAAATCCAGTATAAAATCATACTTTTTTACACCAGATTTTTCAAATATGCAGTATAAAATCATAATTTTCTGGAAAAATATTAATTTTTACCAGTTTTTCAAAATATGTCAGAAAACAAGCGTCCATACCAAATTTCGCAAAAATTTCGGTAGAGTTAACTTTAATTTTTTTTCGTTATCGAAAATGAACTATCAGATTTTTCAAAAATTCGAAAAATTATCAAAGATACCATATTTATCGAAAAATCTAGTACGTTAAATTCATTTAAAAAAAAAACTATAGAAATGCATACCAGACTTTTGGAATACACTATCAAATTTTTCAATTTTCATCAAAAAATTTACTTGTTCCGACAATTTGATAAAAATGCATACCAGATTTTTTATTCCGACAATTTGATAAACACAGAGACAACATGAGTATTATTGAAATATGAAAAATCTCAAGTATAACTAAATGGTGGCCGGAAGAAACCTCGTTTACGTAATATCAAGCAATAATAACCGAAAAAGTTTAGGAATATATGGTTAGTTCAATCTCCATTTTCGTTGATATTGTTCTAGACACTCGCGGTTCCACTTAGTTAAAAATGGAAATAGTTTATGCCTAATAAGGCTCTTCTTTTTTATTAGATAGTTAATAACATAATGGGAATGGAAACAGGTCATGTCTAATAAGGTTAAACTTGAAAATTTAAATGAATTTCTTTTCTCACCTTTATACGTTCTTACAAGTTGTAAAAATTTTAAAATATCTCTAAAATTTAGAGATGCATTTTCAGACGCATTTAGTTTTCACAATATTAAACGCAAACGAGTGAGTCACCCCTATTATACTTAATTTTATTCAGGAGTTGCATCTCCGAAAATGACATTAATACTTCAAAGCATAAACAGAGATAGTATGAGAAAGATCTAGAAACTAAAATAATTTGACGTTAAATTAAAACAGTCAACATTACATAAATAATCGTTGATATAAATTTAACATTATGTATCAATATAAATAGGCAGTTAAGGAATTGCAACATATTGATAGTATCTTCGACGAATCTTGAAATCTATATATCCACTTCAATTGAAACCTTTGAAGCATAACGGTAAAAGGTACTCTGCATAACCTTTAAATCTTCATCTATCTTCGGTTCTAAGTTGGTGAAATGTATCTTTTCGTCGCTATCAAACGAGGATGAACGATACTCGAACTTGACAACTCTTCGATTTTCTAAATATCATAGAAGAGTATTTAGTTTAGATATCAGATCGGCGAGAGTTGTGTCCTCGGTGAATCTAAATTGAAGTGGTGCTTTCGCGCCATTGAAATAACAAATGTGAGATGGGGATATATAATCATTCTCTGATTGTGATGTGTTTTTTAAAAAATATGGGATGAGAGACACTCTATTTATACAAGTTTTGGAACACTTTGGACCTTAAAAACCTTATCCTATCATCATGGAACTTTTAGGAGATGCATCTTCGGATAAATCCTATTTTTTTATGAAAAAATGGTGTTTGCGGATATGCACATCCGTAAAGTGTCCTGTTGTGTTTTTTTATGGCAAAATATCTTTTTTGATCCCTTAACTATACCCATGAGTTCATTTTTTTCATGTCAAATTGGTCCCTTAACTCTTAAAAACGTGTCATGTTAGTCATTTTCGTCTAATTAGCGATGAAAAAGTTTAAAAATCGGTCGCTAAATTAGTCATTAATTAGACGAAAAAGACTAACACGACACATTTTTAAGAGTTAAGGGACCAATCTGACACGAAAAAAAACTAAAGGACCAATCTGAATCCAAGGGTATAGTTAAGGGACTAATAAGAGTATTTTGCATGGAATGTATCCGGATATGCATATTAGGAATCACCCTGAACCAGAATCAAACCAAAAACTGTGAAAACTTAAACAAAACATGTAAAGCATAAAATTTGTAAACTTATACAGTCGACATTTACACCACCATTGTTGAATATATATATATATATATATATATATATACACACACACACACACTTATGTATTAAATTGAATCGAGATTACATCATTGAGGACAATACATTCAAAAAAAGTGTATCGATTACAATCTATAATATCTTAAAAGATTCATCACCGCCTAAATTTACTATTGGTTCCTCCTTTGACTTTTTCTTATTTGATTATCTTTCAAGTTTGCTCAATTTGGTGAACTCTTCCATCCTTTTCAGAAATTGATCATGCCGACTTTTGACTCGTTTATGAAATGTTCCGTCCACTTCAATGATGTATTTGGTATAGGACACCCCAGTTTCAAGTAAACCTCAACAAAATGTAGCAATTTTGAAAGCCACTCAATACACATGATACGTCCAGATGCATCTTGAGGTGGGCCACTCCGAAGTGGAAAAAATGTCTCCGAAAAATCATATATTGTCATATTGATACGCACCTTGTTATATGCATTTGCTATAAGGTGGTCGATTTAAGAGAAACACGTCCATTTTGACTCCGTTACAGAACCGCTAACACAAGGAATAAGAGCATCGTTAATTGCATCAAAATGCTCTTTTTTTCCCATATAGAGATGTGTATAATTCCCTATGCACCGTCAACTCTTTCAAAAGTTATTAGCGAACAATAAAGTGATTCTCCTATCCTCTACTGAGCAATTCGGATACAGCTCGATAACCGCAATTACTATCTCCAATAACATTTACAATCCGCTCAATGTGTTTGAGCATAAAAAGCGATAATTCTTCAATGTAGATTATTTTCGGCATTGATAGTGAATGAGGTGGTTTGCTAATTGGAGCACCTTTACAAACACTTTATTGAGATTTCAGAGTTGGAGAATCCGGGAAATGTGAATGTTCAAAGTGTGAAGGAAACCGCTTCATTGAATTGTCATCTTGTATCAATTTAACCTTTTTAGGGGCACCCTTAGTTTTAATTGGTTTCGAATGAGGTTTCAAATTTGTGGTTTCAGGATAGAAAATCTTCTTCAATTTTCTCTTTGATATGTAATTCCATGGTGTCATCTGCTTTAAAAAATCTATCTTAGATTATATCCCACTCGGTCATGATAGTTATACCTCCTTTACAATCTTTCATCACACCATCGTCATCAAATCGAAACCTTTTTCAATGATCGTACACTTCATCCATATGTATCGGTGCATCAAGCTTCATCTTTTTTAAAATGAGACAAGCACATGGAAGACTTTAAAGTCTTCCTAAATGCACATCCACAGTTCAAATAGAGAGTGTTGTATTTGAACCAGTGTTTTAACACGGTAATGCTTGGACCAAAAGTTGTTTGTATTTCACTATGTTAATTTTGGAGCACTTGGTTCACGAAATTCTACTCTCTACAAAAATCACCCTTACTATCGTCCAACCATTTCTTCAGTGTCGGATGCGCAGATTTGAGTCTGTTAGTTGTTGTATTGTGGAGGTTTCTAACCTGATTGGTCCAAGCACAAACAATTTTCCTCTTCGCTTGGTCCTTTATAGTACTCTCAATGTATTTCAGAAAATATGGATATCTGACACACACACACACACACACACACGCATACTCCTAAAATGCATTACAGAGGCAATATACAAGTCTTACATGGATGAAATTTAATATACCATTCCATGCATCTGTTATCGTTTCCAACGCCACACCAGGTTTGACCATTTTTTCGTCTTCACACTTGATTTTTTTGGTACCTATTATGGGTTTGAGCCGACTTCTCACATTTTTTGTTATGTGATATCGACAAAGTAATGAAACACTTTTGCAACCAAATCCATCAGTGTGGTGTCTCAATCGATGACAATTACATTCGACATATTTTCTTGGTACTTCAATAAAGTCTTGAACATTTCTAAGGCCCGTGTAACGTTGACTTCTTTTTTGGATTCCAAAAATGCAAATCCCACTGAAAAATTCTTCGTTGTAGAAGTAACACCAACAATTTCCAGAAGCGGGAGACTATACTTGTTGGTCTTATACGTTGAATCAATTATAAGGACAGCGGAAAATGTTTCGAACAACGATACTCTCGGGATGAGTCTAAAATGTGTCACGAACAATAACTTTACCCTAAAAAACTATGTACCTATAAACATAGTGGTTATCATCCAAAAGTTTCAAAAGTTGTTGCATTCGAATTTAGGACCTCTTATCGCCATGTTATTTCGATAACGCGCAATATATACTTGTTTGATATTTGAAACACTTTCAAGACTTTCCTGTTTCAAATCTGCAAGTATGTTTTTCGGCACCACCCTGATTAAAGACAAGTCATAAATAATTTCCTTTTCTTCCGATTTAAGGCGACATACGATGGGATGACCGTCTAACTCGGTTTGCAAGGTACGATTATGTATACTAGAAACTATATTAAATTTTCATGTATCATTCACCGTACAGTTGCACAATTTAAACAGACACTCACATTTTTTCGATCTGGTGTCATCACGTTTCAACTTCTGAATCGGTGGAACGTACGTGCCAATTCTCTCACATCTCATAGTTGCAAATGCTTGCCTTCTATTTTAGCCATTATCAGACCTTCTAATTACAATGTCAAACCCCAATTTCATGGTCTCCATGCGGACCCATTGACCATATATTCACGAGCAATAAACAGTTGTTCATTTCTAAAATGTTGACTTACAAATATCTCGACAATAATCAATCTAACACCCGATTTAACATCATCATTCACCTTATTCAGTTTAACACCATCCTTCACTTCATCTGATTTTACACCATTACTTACAGCAACTTGGAAAAACATATTTGAGTGCATCATATCTAATACGAACCAAAATAAATAAATAAACGATTTTAAAAACTCATAATAGTGAGGGGAAAAAATCCAAAGATGCACATCTGAAACATAAAAATGTAAACTCAAACATGCACATCCGAACGTAACATATATTTTTTTTCGCTCAAGAATAAGATTAATGCAATTGATGAAGGACGAAATGAGTGAACTTTACCTTAAATTTTCTTTTTCTCCATTTGATGTGATAAAACACAAAAATAATAATTTGAAATCGAAAAGTTGATTGAGAATGAATTTTTTTAAAGGATTTTGAATTATGGATGTGATATAGAGTGTGGGAGAAATTATCATGCAAGATGGTGATATATTTAATTTTTTACTTGACATTTTTGGAGATACATTTCCAAAAATGTCCCTGAATAATTAAGTAAATTAGTTCAATGAAAAGCATAAAGTAAATGAGTTCAGAGTTGTTTTCAAATATGCATACATTCTAGATATATCTCCAAACCTATTTTTGGCTAAAATGAAACGGCTACCTGATTTATGAATAATTAGGTGATTTAAAGTACATCCAAAGATATATTTTTAAAAATAAAGAAAACCAATTTTGAGCTTTCAATTGTGTAAGCCAGACCCCAAAAAAAGAAACTTCCAAACTTAAATACAAGGAAAATGTCATGTCTAACAATTTTGGTATTGCCAATTGAACTAAATCTTTCTTGGCAAAAAAAAGTCTTATATATTAATCAAATAATTAAGACTCAATTTAGCTATCAAAATTTAGTTTTAAAATACATAAAACCACTCATTTTAACATATACCTGAGTAATCTGTCCTTGATTCTATGTTCAATTTTTATTGCAACAATATATACTAAAATCATATCGCTAAAAAGCCGCATACTCCCGTATAGCTAAAGGAGTTGAGCATTTTTTCCAAAGATAAAGACTTAGTTTAGCATGTTAATCTATATACCGAGTCTAAAAACATAGTTTAAAATAAACACATTATTCACATTTAGATATGTATTATCCCCCCAAAAAAGTCAGCAACTTTTCAGGCTAAAGTCAAATCTTTGAAAATTTTAGGCACATGTATCATATAAACAACCAAGTTTACATATTAAATTTGAGACACAAGTTAGGCACATGTATTCTGTCAAAAAAATAAAAGAAAGTTAGGCTCATGTAATAGAAAACTGTCTAGTTTGTCCTCTTTCCACCCACACTTACACATATACCTATCATCAATGCAATTAACAAACTTGAGCATCAAAGTAAATGTGGCACTTTTATTTATTCTGACAACGCAAATAATCTTCCAACTGCATTTTGACCTTGCTTACACTGTGGGAGCGTTTGAATAAATTTGAATATGAAAAAGATTCTAAATATTAACAATTATACATCTATAATGGAACAAATTTGACTAAAAATTACACATAGAAAATTAGCTATTATCTATTTAGCTAGCCAAAAGAAATCCTGATAAAAAAAAGGGTAAAAAACTATATTGGTCTCTTATCAGTCAATGGACTGGATGTGACAAGGAATTAAGAGAGGCCTGTACAGCATGCAGCTGATTTTGAATCTTCAGAAACAGATTCCTGATAATTGCAAGCGCAAACAGAAAAATGCAAAAGAAATATCTTTGACAGGAAACTTCCATCAAGCTAATCAATGGATGTAGTAAGAGACAGTCATCTCTGAAGCTAATCGGTTTGGATTGTTCGACTGACTTCTTGTAACTTGCATCTAAAAATGCAAAAAGAAGTTTGAGACTTCAGCCATGAAAAATTCAAGCGAATAACTCTTCAAAATGCTAAAACAGAAGTTTGATATTAAGAGCAATTATTAATTGTAGTACGACAAAAACAAGCAGCCCGTCTAATAATCATCTACAAGAACTTTTTACCCCAACAACGGGAAATGTTTCTAATTCTAACCTACAAAGATATGTGGTGGTAGGGATTGCATTTTTGTACATCTAAAGAATCATACCTGATAATCAGAGAATATTGTAACAAAAAAGATTCAGAGCTGAACTACTTCCATGGCTGTGACAAAGAAACGACAGGAGTTGATGCTTGTAATCCTTTTTTACCGTGTATAGCAGACTTCAGCACATCATATTGTTCGGTCACAGAATCATACAAGGCTTTTGTATAAGCATCCTTAGCCTACTCCATGCGAATCCATATTTCAATAATCAGATTAAGAGGTCAAAGAATCTAAAAGATCATTTAACTACACAGGTGTTACTCATTATATTACAAACTTCAATAAACTTTATTCAATTTCTATAACCTGCAAACGTTGGCAAATATTAATACTAAGTTTCAGTAGAGGGTTTCATAGGTTAATAATAGATGAGGTACTGTTCTGCTTTGTGTAGTATCTAAGTTTGTCATTCAGAGGCACACAGGGAAGGGTCTCTCCTTATAGGCCTAAAAGCTCACATGAAATTTAAATGTGCAATATCAACAACAAAAACAAAATGATACTATCTGCACTTAATATTGTTTTATAAGTGATGTCAAGTAACATAGCATTCGTAAGCAATCGCGTCTTCTCACTTCAAGCATAACAAAATGTCAATAGGTGACTTATCCAAAAATGTTGATGTAGAATCAATTGACAAAATAAAAACTTTAAGACACAAGGAAGCTGAAGTTAAAGTCATCAAATTTTCCTTACCTTTTCAGGATTTTCACAAGCAGCAGTGGTGTTGGAAAAGCTTATTTCTGGAGCAGTTGATATGCCAGTCCCATGATAGGATATAATTCTTTTCTCCCCAATTTCTTTTTCGACCTGCAAAATCATGCTGTGTCAATAAAAATATGAAAAAAATATATCAGGGCCAACTCTAAAAAAAATGAACCCCATACCTGTAGTGGAGGAGGCATTATGTCATGGCACAATATTGCCAAAGGATAGATATGACCTGGTGGACCTGAATGATCAACAAGCCTTCGCATATTATCCACTGAAGAAGAATCAAAGGGTGCCTGAATGCCTCATATAAGCATGGAAAAATCATAATCAGTATAGAAACATCACAGAATTGGCTGTATTACATTGAGGACGTTGTGCACTTAGGATTATTATTAGAGAATAGTTAGTGCAAGTTTGTAATCATTGGTTAGCAAATGCCTAGGCCTCAAGACTGACACTTGTCAGCTTGAGTGTAACAAGGAATCTGCTATAGCAGGTTATCAGGTCATCTGTTTTGTCAAGTATAAAAGCAAAACAGATCCTATTTTTGTAACTAACACTTCAGAAATCAAAAGTTAGTAAGAGACTCAAGATGAAAATCTCAATTCTACCTACTGACTCACATTGTATCAGTTTCCTAGATTGTGATCTAGGTCGTTTCCATGGACGCAACACCGCAACCGGTGCAATCACCGGTGGCTTCCACTCATGTTTCTAATTCTCCGTCGCTCGCGACTTTGCATTCTGTCGAGGATTCAAGTCTACACTTCTCGCTCAAGATCGCTCAAAAACTTGACGAGGAAAACTTTCAATTATGGCGGCAACAGATTGAACCGTATAACAGTGCACACAATCTCACTGAATTTGTTGTGTGTAATCTAGGTCGTTTCCATGGATGCAACACAGCAAGAAGTGCAATCGCTGGTGGCTTCCACTCATGATCTGATTCTCCGCCGTTCGCGACTTGCATTCTGTCAAGGATTCAAGCCGTTGTGTGTGATCTAGGTCGTTTTCAAAGTTTTTTTTTAATTAAAAAAATTGACTAATTTTGTTTTTATTTGGATTTTTTTGAATCATGAATAAAATAATTAGAGTGCTATATATAATAAGTGATATGAAGGAGATATTATATAGTTTAGATATCTTGAATAAAACGTTTTGCAAATCGGTTGTGGAAATTTTAAACAAACTCTTTCTTAATCATCTTGAAGAGAGCAATATAGACTTTTAGTATAATACAGTCATACTAGAATAAGTATTTAGATATTTTAACAAGTAGCGCAGATGTGAAACTATTATTTGTAACAGTTATATTAACAATTAATAAATTGTATAATATGTAAATTAGGGGTGACAAAATGGATGGATTGGATGAATATGGATTGTTAATGGATGGATCAAAGCAATCCATTAATCCATTAACAATTCACTAACTCTCTTAATAAAAATCCAATCCAATCCATCCATTAAGAGATAAAATTCATCCAATTCATCCATTAACATATTTCTAATGGATGGATCCATCCAAAAAATTAATTTAAAAATTCTTAATTATTTTTTAAATTTCATAGAAACATAATTTAAATATTTTGAATTATTTTTTAAATTTCATAAAAAAACTTAAATTTTAAAAAAAAATTAATATTCTTAATTAATTTTTAAATTTCATAAAAAAAAAAATTAAATTTTACAAAAAACTCATATTCTGAATTATTTTTTAAATTTCATAAAAAAAAATTAAATCTCATAAAAACAATTAATATTCTCATTTATTTTTTAAAAATCTTTAAAAAATTTAAACTTTACAAAAAAAATTAATATTTTTAATCATTTTTTTAAATGTTCTTAACTATTTTTTTAGTTATTCTTAATTGTAAAAAAATTATTCTCTCTTCACATTCCAATTAAAACCTAATTTCAGTGAAAGGGTAACTAGGCAGCCTTTGCAAACAACTGATTATGCTTAAATAGAGTACTAGACATGGCTCACTCTCCTCCTATCTAATTCTAACACACTTCCTAATACCTTCCTATAAGAATAACATAATGACATGAGCTGGACTGCTGGAGTACTCTTTTGGAAGCACTAACCAAGTAAAAGGTATCATGTTTCCACGTATACCTTCAAGTCCATTAATCATGTAGTTCGTGAAAAAGTAATACCTATTAAAAGGGTGGGAAGAAACATTTAGTATAAAATTTATTACCTCACCCACCCCTCCCCTTCAACAGTACCTTTTATATATAGGAACTGTGCAATGCTTGATTTTAGTACTACACATAATTATCCAAACCACCAACCATTCAACATTTGCAGTGGTTCTTTAGCATTAACTTAGCCTCCTATCTAATTCTAACATACTTCCTAATACCTTCCTAAAGAATATAAAATAATATAGAAAATAAACATAATGACACGAGCTGGACTGCTGGAGTACTCTTTTGGAAGCATTAACCCGGTTAATGGTATCATGTTTCCACATATAAATATCAATCTAAGATGTGGCAAATTTTGAAACTTTAATGCATTTACACATTTGACTTTTACAAGAAAGTGAACTTACTGGTGCAAATTCCCCAGAATTGGCAACTGGTCGATCCCTACCGCCGCTTGGAGCAATCCAAATTATTTGTGATCCACTCCTATAACAATAAAATAGTACATTTATGTTTAACACTGTAACATCAATATAATGGATAGACCGATCAACAACTATTACACACAAAAGATACTATCTAAAGGGAACAGATTAATTGCTATTAAATGATCTTCCCTTTTAAGATTTGGATTCAACATATCCATTTTCAGGTTTCTAGAAAACATGCACTCAAATGATGCGTTGCAGTCTGAATTAAAAAATAAAAACTAAAAAAAAAATCATTTTGCTATAAATCAGTATGTATGTATATATACCTTAAAAGCATAGCCATTTCCTTCAGACTTCTTGTATTTGCTTTTCTTTTCATATCTATAAGTTCTGGATTATCAAGCATGTGCTTTTTCGAATAAACACAGATCAGATTCCTACATAAATGAAAAATGTAATTGAAGAGTTTCAAAGTCAGCCTCATTTAAATTAGGAGATACGCCAGTATAAATTTCAAATTGCATTAAAAAAAAAAATATCCACCTGCCAATACTGAAGGGCTTGCATAGAGGATCAGTTATAACTCTATCTCCTGCTACATAAATCTGTAAAACAAGAAGCAGAATTCAATTAGTTCTGCATTTACATATATGAAAAATGTAATAAAGACTTTCAAAGTCAGCCTCATTTATAAATGGTACATTCAAATAGTCAGACAATACACGTGCAAATTTTACCAAGTTTTCAGCAATATGTGGAAGTCGCATTTCAAGCAGCAATGCAATAATAGCTGGATCTGCTTCACTTTGGTGGTTTGACATCAAGATAATATTGTGCCCCTGCGGCAATTTACATAGGGTAAATATACACAAGAACCGATAAATCAAAACCAAGGTTAACACTTCATGAAAGGTAGTGAATATTTCACCGGTATTCTCATTAATATAGTAGTACTTCATGGGGAAAATTAAATATACAACAACAGCTTCATCAACTCAGAGTCACGTGATTTGGTCGGTTACCACAATCTAGATTTAAGATTGATTTGCTATAAAAATAAAAAATAAAAAGGTGCAACATAATTAGCATGGTAGCGCATTAAAATAAATAACAGTTTTTTTTTCATATTGTCCACCACTTTAAGAAGACTATCTTTTTCACATCACATGCATAAACTCCATATATGTCAACCTTATGCATATTACATAGAGATAACAACCTTAGAACTTGGTTATTGTGCATATTTTAAAAGAGGACTATTTGACTTTCTAAATCCCTTAGCCTTTTCTCAGGGGAAAAATGTTCTGCCAATATTTTACAGTAAGCAGATGAATAATCTTACAATGTAAAAGTAAGCATGTTAGAAATTTGCACCTGCTTAAGTTGCTCTTCCATTTGAATGAAAAGGGGCATGTTACCAACATAAGAATTTCTGCAGAAAAAGTATCCCATTTAAGAAAGATATGAGGTGCAGTAAGATGGAGTTGACATGCATATGAAAGCGCAACACGAAGCCTACTTCTGAAGGCATGGTCCCAAATATTTAAATTAAGCATGTGAACAAAAAAAAACAGTGACGGGACTTCTATACATACATACAACTAAGAAGGATCGAGTTATTTCTCAAAAAAGAAAAAGGATCAAGTTAACAATAGATAAACTCGGCAAGGGAGTAAAAAGCCAAACAAGTGCCGCCTTGTCTGCATAAATCATAAATTCATATGAAATCTCCATCTGAGGGCACAAAGAAAACTGAGGATGAAGCCCAGTAAAGTGTAGTTAAAATCTGCAAAGGCATAAATTTTTTTGGTTATATTTTGTCATTTATATCCTATGGTTAACCATGAGCAACTTATAACTAAACACAAATGTAATTGAATTGATGGGCACCCCTTTGCAGTGCCTAATGGGTATTTCAAATCAAGTTTAGCTGAGAAAGAAGAAAAGTAGATAAGGAAGGGGCAGGAATGATAACGTGTTGGACAAGTGTCAAAAGGGAAAAGGAAGATTCTAACTGAATAGACAAATGATGGAAACAGGGGAAGGAGTAGCAATATGATGTAGGGAGTTCAAAAAAACAAGAGTATGAATCTGCGAAAGAAAATCAGGGAGGCTTTGAGGCGGGAAGGATAGCATCTAGCTTGTCCCATTTATTATTTTATTTTCCATCTGCGTGTACATATTGTAAAGAGATCACTTCTCCAAATTGCTCTTACATTGTCTGCATAAACAACAAATCTACTATCCAGGTATCATAGACTCATATCATATGCAAACGTTTATAGCAGCAGAGAGAAATTGAAAACCAATGCATTCAGGATGTATAAGTCAGCAGCAGATACCAATAGCAGAGTAAACAAAATTAATCTGCAATCCCTCATTTTTCTCGGTGTCCAAGGTATTTGCTTGCGGTTTGTAGAAAGATGATGCCATCTGGAGTGTGTGGAGTGTGTCTCCGAGACTCCACAAACCAAAGAGCACTCAGCTTACATGCTTCACTAGAAAACTTAACCAATAAGGCTATTAACTTGCATACAATTTGTTTGACTTTCCGCCTTAATTGCAGTCCCCCCCTAGTCGCCTTAATTGCGGCTCTTTGCCTTGCCTCATTGCAGCCCCTAACACCTCCATTGTGTTAGCTTTGAAGGGGTGGATCTAGTCCCACATTGCTTACAGATATGGTCTGTGTTGTATTTTAAGTGGGGACAATCCTCACCATACAAGTCAGTTTTGTAGGGATGAGTTAGGCCCAACCCAAAGTTTTGTAGGGAAAGGGAAAAAACCAAGTCTCATATATCGATAATTCGGGCTACCCACCGTTTATATCCACGCCTCAAGCCTAATAGTGCTGGGCGTGGGGGTGTATTGGAAAAAAAACCAAAATCTCACATTGGTTAAAGATACAATCTACAGAGGGTTTATATAGAGTAACACCCCCCACCTTACCAACCGGTTTTATAGGGTTGAATTAGACCAAACTCTAATTCTATCACAATTGCTACACCTACTACTCTAGTTCTAAAGAAATTTTCTCCTTAAGCCTAAATGTGAGTTGTCTTACAATCAGGCCAAGTTCCACAACATATTCCTATGGGTTATAGAGTATGGACAACCCGTGCACACACATCTTATACTTCCTATCACAATCTTAACTTATAGTAACAAAATCTACATATAATGAGTAAAGGCCAAGCAGGAAATTTCACTAATCACATTTGTACACTGTCAAGGAGCAAAGTGAAATACAACAACAACCAAGTCTTATCCCCACTAAGCCGTCTTATCCCCACTAAGTGTGGGTTGGGGCCAGCTACATGGATAACTATCGCCATATTGTTCTATTAAGGATCATGTTTCTATTCAAATCATTAATCTCGAGATCTTTCTTAATAACGTATCTGATAATCTTTTAAGGTCTTCCCTTTCCTTTAATTGTTTGTCTTCTCTACATCTAATCTATAGAATCTACCGGTCCTCTCTCTACATGCTCAAACCACCTAAGTCTATTTTCCACCATCTTATCCATTATAGGCGCTACTCCGACCAGAGTTATTCATGGGAGTTTCGCCGGAGCAGCCACCCTCTGCGACGGTTTTATGGTGCGGAACGCAGTTTGCGATAGACAGGATCTCGTGGAGCGAGTCACAGGGCACTACACGCATGGAGCGGTTTGTCTGAGTTTTTTTTTACTTTTTTATTTGTGCATTTAAGAATTTACAAAGGGTCAAAATAGCTTACGATTACATTTGGGATTAGTTTCGTGTTCTCTCTGTTTCATCTTCTCTTTGCTCGTCTTCTCCATCAACCCTAACGGCCGCTCATCCTCGTCTTCGACACTTCGGCGCTCTTCCTCCGGACACCCTCCGGCGCTCCTCCTCCTAATAGTATTCTAAGTTTGATTTCTATGTTTGTTTTCGAATTGGAGGAATAGTTTAAAGCATTGTACTTTGATATTTGATTATATAGATCTTTTATGGATGTTGTGTTATTTGTTTAGTTTTACAGTAAATATATAGGTAGATTATTCATAAAAACTTATCCTGTTTTCCACTATCCCACTTTTGGGATCGGCCGTTCCGCTCTACTATCTAAGATTAATAACTATGATTCCGACACTCTCTCTAATATTTTCATTTCTAATTTTATCCTATTGAGTCTCCCCACACATCCACCAAAGCATCCTCATCTTTGCTACACTTACTTTATTCTCGTGTTAATATTTAACAGTCCAACGAAAGTAAGCTAAACTTATCAATGCCAAACAGAAGTAAGAGTAGAAAATATAGCTTGTAACTCACTCGAAATCAACTAAGGGGCGAATATAATTTTGACCAAACATGTAGTAGTCAAAAGGCTCTCTCTTTGCTTTGTGGTATGCTTCAAAGACAAAAGGCTCCTGTTAAAAATCAGTCCGATTTTTCAGCATGATATTTAATAACACCAAACTATAGCATGATTAACTTGCGTAAATGCGAAAGAATATGAAAATTACAAAAATCAAAGACTCAGTATTCATTGAAACAATTAGCAAAGCATATTCTAGAATTCAAGCTTACCTTCACATCCAAAAATATGCGATCTAATAAAGCAGTCATATTTGACAATACAATTTCACTTGCTTTGGGATCTCCACTTTTAATAACCTGAAACATGGTGGCATACAAAAGGAAATGTAACCAAATCACTTGTGAAAACCTGAATTAGCATACTAATCGTAATTTAACAAAATATTAAACTGCCAACCAACTATAAAAATAATTGACTCAACCATGTTTATTCTCCTAAAGTATATCCAGGTGGGAAATTAAATTATCAAAGTCCACCCACTATACGATATCTTCTCACTTACAGAAAGCTATTTTGGGATTTCATTTCCACAAATCATAGGTAAACTAATATATTTTCCCACAACATAATGGAAACAATTCAGTCACACAGAACATATTTAATTGAAACCTTACAAACATAAAGATAAGACATAAGATTATAAACTTACTGCACTTTTATAATTAAGGTACAGTTCTTCCATCCCTGCAGCAATACTAGCAGGCAAAGTTCCCGCTTCTACTTCTTTCTTAATTCCAGAAAGAACATCTTCAAACAAACAAATCAATATGACAAAAAAAATATATCATTACTAATACTAATAACAATAATAATCAATCTTCAATATCTTCCATATTAAAATAATTAAACCATAAAGAAAATTATACACTAACTAACAAACAAACTAAAAATTCCTTCCTAGTCCCAATTTCAATTAACAATAGTCAAACCACTAAAAATAAAGCAGCAGCAAGAAACTTCAACCAATCAGCATCAGCATAAATAAACTTCAAAAAATAATACATATTATATTCAATCACTTCAATTTTTCAAAGGTATATCTGTTTCTAACTTCATAATCGAGCGAATCTTGAACATGCAAAATTTGAATTTAAAAAAGAAAGTGAAACGGTGAATAGTAGAGTATATGAGCAAGAATAACTAAGTAAGTACCTTGTTCATTTTGAGCGTTGAGAAAAGTGCGAGAAGAAACGGAAGAGGTCATGTTCGCGGAAACAACGTTTTTCTCTTTAGGTTTAACAATGTTGAAAGCGAGTGAGCAATGAGAAGTGGAAGTAGAAGAAGAGGAAGAAGAAGAAGTTGAAGAGCGAAGAGAAAGAGCAGAACGAAGAGGTTTAGAATTCGAAGCCCTAAAAGGTGCGAAAAATGCGGTTGGAGGAGAACAACACGGTGTGGAGAAGATAAACATAGTCTTCATTTTGTGACGGTAGTTAATGCGTGACGCATGGTAAGCGAAAGAATCGGTCATCTTCTTGTTCGGAGAAAAAAGATTGAAGAATTCAAGAGAAGGATAGGATTTGCGTTCTTGAATGAATCAGAGTGTAATGTGTGGAAGGGTGAAAGGGTCTTTTCTAGTTGCCATTGTTGGAACCAATCGTTTTGGAGGTGGTGGTGTTTTGACACGTGGAGTTTCATTTCAACGGATAAGATTCGTTCTGATTTTCTTTTTTGTATATTGCTTGATTTTGTGATACGCATATCGTTTTCTTGTGGGATATGATGGCTCAAACTTAGTATATAAGGTAATAATAGCTTAAGCTTTGTCCATATATTGTACTATATCTTTTTAATTTAACCTTGCATGTACCTTATTAATTCAACTCATTGTTGGTTGATTAATTCAACTCCTATACATCTTAATTGTGTTCAAACTATGAAAATATTTGTCAAACTTTTAGAAGATGGTGATAAATAAGAACTTGCCTATAAATGGACCATGTCAATTAACTAACTTGTAGATATTTCAAATCCATATTAGTTATGTATAAATCTAAAAATAATAACTTTAGAAATAGTATATAATTGTTTTTTGAAAGGCTTTCAATTTATGTGCAATTATAAGGTTAATTGTTCCTCAAGTTTTTTGGTCAATAAAGACATTGAGTATATCATAAAACCACATGAATCACGAGGAAATACACCCATCTGACCATCTCCACTTTTTACTTTTGTTTTCACATTCATCATAAAACCGACAACTTTTTCAGCTCCATATTGGATGCATTTATATCATATCAGAATAATTGGCTTCACATTTTAAAACACTACATAAACTTGTTATTACAAAAAGAATCAAAATTTAAAAAGTGTTATTATGAACCAGCTTGTTTTAATTTTAAAAAAGTAAATTTTATTTTTGTATTTTTTTTAAAATGGATTCTACTAAAATATTTTTTTTAAAATTTTGTTTTTTAAAAATTAAAAGACAAATTTTTAAATATTATAACATAAAAATTAAAATATAATTAAAATCACATTCTTTTTAAAAAATTGTATCTTAAAAATAATTTTTATAAAAAAACTACTTAAAATAGTTTCAAAATTAAATAATTGTTTGAAATTTTGACGTCCAAAAAAAGTTTTGATAAGATGATTAAATACATAAAATAATATTTTAAAAATAATTATTCATATCCGTAAAAGTTTTTTATAAAAATTTTTTATACCAAAATATGGACCAGTTTGATTTAACTTTAAAAAAATAATTTTTATTTTATTTTTTAAAATAGATTCTACAAAAGTATTTTTTAAAATATTATAAATTATTTTTAATTTGTTTTTTATAAATTAAACAACAAATTTTGACATACTATAATATAAACATTAATTATCATATAAACATTAATTATCAAAGATCAAAACGTAGTCAAAATCACAATTTTTTTTTAAACTATATCTCGAAAATAATTTTTATAAAAAACTATTTGAAATAGCTTCAAAATTAAGTGGTTTTTTCTTTATTTTGACATTTAAAATTTTTTTTGATAAAATACATTAAATAACATTTTAAGAATAACTACTCAAATTAAATTTTATTTTAAATTTTTATACCAAAACATGTTATATATAAAAATCATTTTTTAAAAAAAAGCAAAACAAACAGACCCTATATTAACTTAGAAAAATCATTTAAAAAAAAAACAGAACAAACAAACCCAGTTGAAAAAAAATATATTAGAAAACTTGGTACATATTTGGATTCAGAGCCTTCTAAAAGTCTTAATGTATAAATATTGATCTTGATATATTTAGAAGATTTCAATTAAAATTGATTTTGCATCTAATATCAATTCTAACTAAAGTAATTTGTAATTTTTGCCTCCATTATAAATTATTTTACCTTAAACTTCAACTCAATAAAAATAATATTTTGTATTGGTAATAAATTTGACAAAATTACAGTGTGCTAAGTAATTTCACCAAATTCACCCACAAACATAAACTTAGTTTTTGGAGTAGTAATGAGGCTTAGATATCCATGTGCAAAACCTGTAATTCACCAATAATAACATAGTTTAAAAGAGAAAAATATCTAGCATCTCAACAAGAAACTACATTAATTTGCTAAATCTCAGTGACTGTCTTTAAATACTGTTTCATAAACTCATGTAATACTATTGATCTTTAGCATCCAAGGGTTCTCTTGGAAACAACAAAACCGCACCAAACCAATTTAACCAAGGAAGTTCATGATCACCAAATGAAGCACCAAATTGCAGAGAACAAAATCAGCAAAAGCACGCTCCGGCGCAAGATCCTGCAGAAGAATGAAGGACTAAACTATTAAAAGAATATATCAAGTGAAAAAAATAATATGAAGATAGCACATCACTTTTTCATTTCCTTTTGTTCTTGCTTTGTTTTGTCTGGTTAAAGATGTAGGGATCTAGAATCTGGCTTCTCTAAAGTGAGTCAAGTGAAAGAGCAATGGTTGTTATTTCAAAAAAAAAAAACATATGATTTGTTATGATATACTCGCATTATCAGCTTTTAATTTGTTAAAAGTCAATGGTTGATAATGCACACTTTACACTTTGAAGTAAGTTGTTCACTTCGGAGGAGCTCGATCCATGGATGTAGGTGTAAAATTATAATTTTACAAGGTAGTTGAAATATAATATGGAAAACAAAAAGAAAGCAAATATAAAGATATTATGAGAATTTGCAGGTCTCAATTTAGCTCATCATATACATCAAGATAAAATCAAAACAGAAAAGAGAATAATGTTTACCTTGAATTCCTTGTTCTCTTTGTTGACTTGGATCCGGAGAGAAACTGATTCAAAATAAAGGATTATAGTAAAGATAAGGAAGGCAAGAACTAAATCCGGGCACGTGTATCAAGTAGGCTTAGAAATCTCAGTTTATCGGTATATAAATAAATGGGCATAACATGCTAACTCGCTAATCGTAAAAGATCATTGACACTTACCAGCCAGAACCGCGGTTCCTACACAAGAGAGTACTCCAGAAAGGAAGGAGTTAAATGGAAATGTTCCAACCAGAGCCATGTAAACTACCTATTCATAAAAAAAATAATGTAAGTCTTAACAAGAGTATTACATGTTAACATAACATAGTTTCCGACCTCAAATCTTCACCAAAAACTAATTTCTATTTGCAATTTTTTAACGGTTAAAAGTGAGAACTTGTTTGTTATACTAGAAACCGGAAGAGTATCCAGTAAAGCAAGATAAGATTAGTAGATAACACATTTCGGTGGTAGTTCATCAGCCCACAATCTGCCACAATATTGTTTTGCTAGAATAGCTAAGCACGAGCTATCTTATTACACTTTCTTCTAGTGCATGGGTGAATGTACATCTTCAATGATGCTGGCCTAAAGAAATGCAATCGCCTACAAGTTCTAAGCAATTGAATCCTGCTTCTGTATCTAATTGTTGTGGCTTATTGTTTGTAGAGAAACATATTTTGAAACTAATGTTTAAGACATATAAACCAGAGAGATAACAAAAAAAATCCAAACATTTTCAACCAAAAAAATTCAAGAAAATATATGAAGATCATAAAGCCAAACAACATTTTTTTTTAACATCTAAATCTATATCAATTAAAATTGAAGACGATGAATCAGGTTATTGCAAATGCAGAATCAAACAAAAACGACAGATCTGGGGAAAATGCGGGGAGTGTGTACCTGAAGGAGAGCGGTGAAAACAGCGAAGGCAACATAGAGATCGATGATCTGAAAAAAAGGAGAAATTAGGTTAGGGAAGAGTAAAGAATTTAGGGGAAATGAAATGAAAGGGGGAAGAGGAATGGGACCTTGAGATTTGTAGGTGTGGCGGAATATGCAGACCAAATAGCGTGGAATAGATCTTGTGCATCCTTCGTGGTGGAAGTTGTTCTTGCCATTCTCTTCTCTACCTTCGCTTCACTCTCTCTCTCTCTCTCTAAACTCTATAACTTGAACCTGTTTCAACTGAAGTCGGGAAGTTTTACCTCATACCCCTACACTTGTACCTATACCCCTACATTAAAAAATTTTGGACCAAAATATCCTTGTATAAAATTTTATTATTTTTTAATTTTTTTATATTTTTTTATTTGTTTACCGGAAGACTTTTTTGGAAGTCTTCCGGTTCACATTTTTTTCGTATGTTTACCGGAAGACTTTTTGGAAGTTTTCCGGTTCATATTTTTTCGTTTGTTTACCGGAAGACTTTTTGAAAGTCTTCCGGTTCATATTTTTTTTTAATTTTAATTAATATTTAAGATTTATTAATTTTATATAAAGATCAATTTAGTAAATTTTTGTCTATTATATTTAATATATAAAAATTTTATAAATAGAGAATCATTTTCATAATATTTTATGTTTGCTATAATTATTAGAATACTATAAGATCAAAATCATTTATTTTAAATGATCATAATCGTAGAATTTTCTCAAATATCTTAATAATCTTGAAAATTAATAAATAAAATAAATTTAAATATAGGATATAAGTTTACATTATTCAATATATTTAATCAAATGAAAACATATGTGATAAATCAATAATGTATTTTAACTTAAAATGATCACAATAAGTTAACTTGCAAAATAATATAAGTAATAAATTAATAATGTATTTTATTTAAAATAATCACAATAATAGAATACGCAAATAATGTATTTTATTTATAGGACTGATATAGTTTTATTGATTATTTAATTTTAAATACTACTATGAATATAGTATTTAATTTATACTTTAGAACTCACATAATTATAAATATAAAAAATATTGTTTTATTACCCATATTTTTATTTAATTAAAAAAAATAAGAATATAAATTTATTATTTGTTTTTCATTTTCGTTTGATCTTTTTTTTATTTATAAATTTTTTGCATATTCTATAATGTGCTTACTTTAAATAAAATATATTATTTATTTTATTAAAAATATTAAATAAAGTGAAATAATTAAAAAGATCAAACAAAAATGAAAAACAAATAATAAATTTATATTCTTATTTTTTTAATTAAATAAAAATATGGGTAATAAAATAATATTTTTTATATTTATAATTATGTGAGTTCTAAAGTATAGATTAAATACTATATTTATAGTAGTATTCAAAATTAAATAATCAATAAAACTATATCAGTCCTATAAATAAAACACATTATTTGCGTATTTTATTATTGTGATTATTTTAAATAAAATACATTATTAATTTATTACTTATATTATTTTGCAAGTTAATTTATTGTGATCATTTTAAGTTAAAATACATTATTTATTTATCACATATGTTTTCATTTGATTAAATATATTGAATAATGTAAACTTATATCTTATATTTAAATTTATTTTATTTATTAATGTTTAAGATTAATAAGATATTTGAGAAAATTCTACTATTATGATAATTTAAAATAAATGATTTTAATCCTACTATTCTAATAATTATAGTAAATAGAAAATATTCTGAAAATGATTCTCTATTTATAGAATTTTTATATTTTAAGTATAATATTAAAAAATTTACTAAATTGGTCTTTATATAAAATTAATAAATCTTAAATATTAATTACAAATTAAAAAAAAACATGAACCGGAAGACTTCCAAAAAGTCTTCCGGTAAACAAACGAAAAAAATATGTACCGGAAGACTTCCAAAAAGTCTTCCGGTAAACATACTAAAAAAATGTGAACCGGAAGACTTCCAAAAAGTCTTCCGATAAACAAATAAAAAAATATTAAAAAAATTAAAAAATAATAAATTTTTATACGAGGATATTTTGGTCCAAAATTTTTTGATGTAGGGGTATAGGTATAAGTGTAGGGGTATGGGGTAAAACTTGTGATTTTTCTGAAAAAAATTTCTTTTTTTGTATTTTTGTATTTTTAGTCTAAAATTCAGTCCAAACATTGTTTTTTATTTTACATTTGACACAGCTACTTTTTGCACCCTATTATCTATTACAATGTCACGATTATTTTTTGAAATGGGTAATAGTTACCATGAGATATAGACAATTTTTGGTTTATCTCTTGTAAAAAAAATTTTCACAAATGTTTTTTTGTGATTTTAAGATTTCATTAATATACATCTTTGAGAAATCTAGTATATGTCAAGTGTATATGTATCAAGTTGAGTGGCATTTTTTTTATTTTTCATTTTTTAATGACACCTAAGTTTATTTTTGCCACGTTAGTAATTGCCATATAAAATGTTATATTTGTAATGTTTGTTTTAGTCATCCCCATTTGACCTAAGTGAGAACCATCATTGAAGTTGTGCATGCAACCTCATTGAAGCATTTCGTGCCCAGAATCACTCAAGGATTCAGCTGAACATCTCGTCATCCATCGCTTCGAAATAGATTTGCATCCAAAGGTATGACCATTTCATCCCTTTTTTTCCATTTTGTGATTTTGTGTGTTAGATTTAGTTTGATGTTAGGGTTTCCGTTACATATTATGGGTAAGTTCAGTGTTGTTATTCATCATGGATGGGAGTTTGTTAAGGAGACGAATATGTTTTATAGGGATGGGGTTCAATCTATTATGTCTATTCAAGATATTGAAGAATGGGATATAGATGAAGTGATGGAACTGGTATTTGGATGGGGATACAATAGAGATGAATTTAGGGTTTGAAGCAAAATAAAAGGTATAGATGAAAATTTTGTTGAAGTTAACACTGATCATCGTGCATTGGATGTTGTTAATTATGCTTTAGGTAATAGCACTGAATGGCACATTTATGTTGAACATAATGTGAAGGACATAAAAGATAAGGTTGTTAAGCTTAAATATATTGAGATGGGGGTGGGAACCATTTCAAGTGATACATAAAGTGTTGATGAAGCAGCAAATGTTAGGCTTGATGACACAGGGGATGAGAGGACAACTGCAGTGGATGATGGTTTTGAATGTTTTAAAGTAGAGAAAACCAAACTTTCTTCACGTCGAATTGTAGTTGATGGGAAGTCCTATAGTTTTAAAAGGTATGCCAGTAAATCATACATGAAGAAGATGACACCAAAGAAAAAGCAGAAGATGACACCAAAGAAAAAGGAACATGTAGAGATGGATGAAGACCAGTATGTAAGTGATGAGTTGGGTAGCTCTGATCCAGATGCACCTGGTGATGAAAAAATGCCAAGGTATGAGAAGTTTATGAAGGAGCAGCTTGGGAAGGATTATGAGTTTAAGTTGGGAATGGAATTCAATTCCTTGGTTGATTTCAAAGATGTAATAATTGAGTGGTCAATTTTGAATGAAGGGGAAATTACTTTCATGAAGAATGAAAGAGATAGGGTAAGGGTAGAATGTAAGGGTAAATATGAGTTTTTTGGTCTATGAGTGGGTTCCAGCAAGACTTGTCAAATTAAAACATGGGTGTGGACCTACAATTGTGCTAGGGTTTTAAACAATAGATGTGCCAAGTCCAAATGGGTAGCAAAGGTTGTGGTAAACAAGATGTAGACAAATGAGAAAGTGAGGATTGCTGACATCATTCAAGACATGAGGAAGAATTACTCAATAAGGATTAAACCGAGTAAGGCATGGAAAGCAAAGGAAATTGCAAAAGATATTATTGATGGGGATGCTGATAGACAATATGCAATGGTTTGGAGGTATGCAACTGAATTAAGAAGAGCATGTGCAAGGAATACAGTGAAGATTAATGTAGAAAGACTTAATTCATCTATTCAACCAAGATTTAGGTCTTTCTACTTCTGTTTAGATGGTTATAGAATGGGTTTCATTCAGGGGTGTAAACCATTTATTGGTGTGGATGGATGCAATTTGAAGACTAATTTTGATGGTCAGTTGTTGATAGCAGTAGGAAAGGATCCAAATGACCAGTACTTTCCATTGGCATTTGGAGTGGTTGAGACTGAAACCAAAGATAGCTGGATATGGTTCTTACAACTATTTATGGAAGACATTGGTCAAGACAAAAGATAGGTCTTCGTCTCAGACGAACAAAAGGTATTTGCAAGTTTTTCTTTATCACTACTTATGAGAAAATTTACCTTATAGTCTGACTTCTGAGTTGTTAATATTTACAGGGTTTGGTAAGTGTTTTTGAAGACATGTTTGAAAGAATTGAACGTAGATTGTGCCTTAGACATCTGTATGCAAATTTCAAGAAGAAATATGGTGGAGGCACTTTGATTAGAGACCTAATGATGAGAGCAGCTAAGGCAACCTATTATCAAGCTTGGGAGGAAAGATGATTGAGCTAAAGAAAATGGATCCAAATGCTTGTGAGTGGTTGATGAAGTCCCTACTAAAACATGGTGTAAGCATGCTTTTAACATATACCCTAAATGTGATGTGTTAATGAATAGCATTTTATAATCATTTAATACAACAATACCAAGTGCTAGAGATAAACCAATTTTAACAATGTGCGAATGGATTAGAAACTAGGAAGATGGGAACATAGGATTTCACTTATTCCTATGGATAGACTATATAAGGAGGTATTCATGAGTGGGAAATGGAATCCATCTTGGTGTATGAATGACCAATGGGAGGTCAAACATGCATACAATTCTCAACAATTTGTTGTTGATGTGGAAAAAGAACATGTTCTTGTGGGTTTTGGGATTTAGTTGGGATTCCATGTAAGCATACTTGTGCAGCACTGGCTTATAGGCAAATTAAACTTGAGGATTATGTGGATGATTGCTACTCTAGAAGAAAAAAAATATGGACTAGCACATAGTGTTATAATTAGCCCAATAAATGGGATGGATATGTGGCCATCAGTTGAAGCAGGTGAATTACTTCTTCTTTTATACAAGAAAGGACCTGGCAGGCCCAAGAAGCTAAGATTCAGGGAACTAGGCGAGGGAGGTTCAAGAACAAGGAGAGTTGGAGTTACCTATAGATGCACTAAGTGT